ACAAACTCAGTACAGAGTACTAAAAAATGGACGTCAAAAGTCATTCATCCCTTACGTTGCCACCCTTAGAGGCGGAATATTTTCTTAAAATTTAAATGGGACCAGTACTGAGATACCATCTTTCCAACAAAAAAAGAATCGTTGAAATCGGTTCTCAAGTGCACAAATTAATATAAAATGAGTTACCGCGTAACATACATACAAAAAAACACAGTCGAATTGAAAACCTCCTCCTTTTTGAAGTCGCTTAAAAATATGTATGCACTTTTTAAATTGAGGTGCAGAGATGACTAATACCTTGATTTTTTGTTGATTTTATTTCTTCAGTTGAACTACACGACTTGGTGGGTACAGAACGTGGAATGAGTTTTATTGGAGGTATCATCACATCTGATTTCGAGACTACCCGATCGGTTCGATTCCGTTTTGCATCAAAATCATGACGCAGATGACAGATTACGGACGCGGTGCTGATAAAATACGGGTGTATAATGAAATTGTTTATATAAAAATAAATACGAAACATGTATTGATTTTAAGAATAAAGATTCATGTAATAAATAATCAGAACCGACTTTTGCATGCAGTGTTGCACAGTGACTATAGTGACAGACATTATTCGTAGCAGTAGAGCTCCTTGTGAAAGAGTTCGTCCAGGGAATTACTGCCACCTTTCCTATTTCTGCCGCTAAGCAGTAGCGTCAGCATTACTGTGTTCCGGTTTTGAAGGGTAAGGGTGCTGGTGAAATTACAGGCACATGGGACTTGTCAACTTACTCGTATGTCTCAGGGTGACAGGCGCTGTGGCAATGCCTCTCAGATCTTTGCAATTTGAAGCTCTGAGTGGCATTGCAACTGTTATGAATAGGTTACCATCAGGCGCACGACTTGTTCGTTCGGTCATTTCATATTATTTAAAAATACTACTCTAGCTACCTGATTACAATGTAGGTTATTCCATGTAGGTATTACGAGTACCAAAGCGACTGTTTTTACTCCCATAACACCCAGATCGGAACCAATGTAGAAAAGTCTATTTATCATATTGGTCCTACCAGGAATCGAAACCGGCACCTCTTGAAATCAATACTATAATAAGACAAGTAGAGCAACTCTTGCCCGCTTGGCTCATCATAGTTATCACATTATTATTTTAGTTCTACCTATTAGGTTGTAAACATAATTTGAAAAAGAAAGCTGTTTGTAACAGTATACTTGTGCATTTTAAATTGAGATACTACTGTGTGTTGTTTTATATTAAGATAAGTTTTTGACATCTAGATAGGTCATCATATATAGTTAGTTAGTTAGGTGATCATAGATAGGTTTTTGGCAGACTAAAGCCATAGCCTCCTCCGTGGTTTGCTTGTTGGTAAGGTAGTCGCTTCCGAGCAGTGTGTGGCTAGCCTATAATAAAGGCTGATCACTTATGTAAGTTGCCTATCATAGGTAGGGCATCAGCTAGGGATGTTCACCCCTTCGGTTGTGAGGAAGAGGGATGTAGTCTAGGCTCTACTCTATGAGTAGAACTACAGGCTGAGTGAATATAGTTTTGTATTTAGAATGTGTTTGAAAAAATAGGTTAGAGAAAAGAACATCTTGGCTGTTCTAGAAGTAGCCTCAAGAAGTAAATGTGTGAAAAAATACAATAAACATCTAATTTTGAAGTTAATCCCAGTTTATATTTATAAAGTACCACTCGCTACGCAACCTAAGCTACGTCCCCAGATTACAAACATAGAGTAGAGCCTAGACTACAGTATGTTACTTATAAGCGTGATAGCCTAGTGGTTTAAACTGCCGCCTCTCCCTCGGTAATGAAGTCTGCAACCCGCATTGGGCCAGCGAGCGTGGCGGACTGTGGCCTAAATCCTCGCCCAAGAGGAGACCCGTGCCCGGCAGTGGGACGTAAGAATGGGTTACTGTATTGATGTATATCGTCGGGGATAGTGCAATGACGCGTAACTAACATTGGATTATGACTTTAGGAGTTTCCATTGCGGTAATTTAATGGCTCAATCAAACCATATTCTTCAACGATCATAACGGTAAATAAGTATTTTTATGTGCACCATCACGGAACAAAAAAGAAACAATGGTGCCTTAGGCCTCGATTCTGCCGTCCGCCAACTAAAATGCGGGTAAAAGTTTCAACTCACACTGGCGCAGAGTCGAAGCGTCGTGACGTTTCATGTTTTTCGCTTATAGCATATTCATCTCTATTATCCCATAATGAGGGTACAAATTTGTGTTATGCAAATATGGAGACGCGCGTCGTAGTTGTAGTTGAAAAACAGGACGCGATGCGACGCTTCGACTGTGCGCCATTGTGAGTTGAGCCTAAGTGACAAAATATTTTTTTCAGATATCATAAAAAACCATAACCCAGTTTTAGAATATTGAAGTTGTTTAATGATATTTCAGCTATGCATCGTTAGGGTAAGTTCTGATAAGTCGAACTAATTTTAATTGTTGCAAACAAATTAGCGTGATTTACGGGAATCTATTGTTATCAGTCCGTAGACAACATAAATTAATGCTTACTGTGCAAAAATGCAAGTCGCAGCCATTGAAATAACAAAGTAATAACGTTAAATCCCTCTCCTGTAAAATTTTATTTACTGTAGATACGCGCCCTTTAGCACTACAACATACGCGGATGTGCACTATGCGCGACAACAGCATTCGGAAATATTCATTCATTTACTTGTACTGTATAATATTTTATAGGCACACATATCATAAACCCTCTACGATGTGTTCAAAAACCGTAAATTACGACCAGCATAACATTGACTTACAATTATACAGCATAAAGATAAACTGTTTTGTCAAACCAAATTTCTTATCTGTGAAAATGTTACCTATTATTGCTAATAACATCATATTCGATTTTATTATTACATTCAAATTTCGAACATCTCTGAAAAACAAAACAATTTGATTCGACCTCAATTTTAATATCAGTCGAGATCTTAGACTATTTTTCCATCCTCTACATTGACTTGTAAGTCAATGATCCTCTAAGGTCGAGATGAAGTTTTATTCTTCTTTTTTTTTTTTAATTTATTAAGGCTTTGGCAAAGCCATCAGCCTAAGCATGAAGTTTAATTATGTAGCCGCCACAAAGAGGATAGGCAATTTGAGGCGGCGTGCTTAGATTGACTCGGGATTCGGGATAAAAACGACACTTTTCCCTCCGAAAGGTCCAGAGTGAATCTTTATTCTTCTTCTTCTTTTAAATGTTATGGCCCCATCGAAATAATCAATGATTTTGCCAATGTCAAGTAAAAATAACTATGTACGGTAGTTTAGTATTATTATAATAATTATACAAAAAAAATGGCGATTTCGCCAATGTCCTGTGAATTCGAAATTAAATGTCAATCGCAAACAATTTTGACAAATATCACACGTCCCTTGATATGATAGTTGGGGCCAGTTGGGGCCACCTCTAGTTAGTCTATGAATTTTAAAAAAATACGGCTGCATGACATGCGTGACAAATTTTTTTTAAATTTATCATTTCGCCAGTCGTAACATGCGGTTCCTGAACACATCATAGAGAGCTTAAGAGCTCTCATGCCAAAAGTTTTGACGTTGGTTCCGCCCAAATTTGTGAAACAAATATATGCCTGAAGTTCGCGTGACATGCTACAGGAGATGTGGAATTTTGCGCATTAAAAGTACCAAATTCGTTTTAGCGGAATAACTCTAAAACTAAAGGGATTAAAAAAAATCCGTAGTGACAGTTGCCGATCATGCATAAATATAATTAATTATCTCATTTTTGTCCTAATAACCTGTAGCATTTCGAGGATAAATCGAAAAAATGTGAAAATTAGAGGTCATTTCGTGATTTTTATCTATCGAGGAAACTTTATTGTTTTATGTTTCTGATTAATGTCTATGCTTGAACATATCGTGTAGTTACTCATACAATATTTTATTTTTAACTTTAAAGTGGATATACCCCTCTAAAATCAAATCGAAGATTAGGAATTTTTCCTCTGCTCCCTCTTAAGCACAGATAAGAAATTTGTTCTAACAAAACAGTTCACCTTTGTGCTGGTCGTAACTTGTGGTTTTTGAACACATAGAGAGTTTATGATATGTGTGTAGATAAACTACTATAACGCACTCTCTGTCTCAAGCCGTGTGACAACTGTATAACATTGAAATAAAATTACATGAATTGTTACGATAATTTTATTAATAAGTAAGTAAATACATTATTATCACATAACAGCGAATTAACTGAATACATCGCGATCAGTCTTATTCCATAATTATAAAAGTCTTGCCTAAAATCAAGGTGTGCCACAAGGCAGGTATTATAAACGAGTCCTATAAGGCTCGTGACATGTTAAAATAAAGAAGTAACAAACGCAAGATCAGCGCAGTGTATACTTCTTTCTACTTGTCACAACTGGAAAGTATTTTTAGTGCTAATTCAGCCGCATGTTTTCTGCTACAATTGATCTTATAGCCTAGCGCAACACCTATCGAAATTCTGCAGTGTATTTCGCGTTAGCGTTGGAGTGCACGTAAGAACCCTCCCAACACCCTAACACTCCATTTCTGTAAGGAATTTTTGTAACGATATTGTACAGTGAGCATTCTCGAGCTTACGAAATTCCACACAGAAGATTTTGGCTCGTATCTAGTTTTTACGTTACACAATTTATCATAAAGTTCATTATTCTATGTACAATAATATCATTACAAAAATTCGCTTCCATTCCCATCCGCCGTAATATACATTGATCCTAAGTCTGGCACATCCTGGGCAACAATCTGCTAACTTATATATTCTATCCTCACGCCGACTGAAGAATCCTTTATCGATAAGTAGAAGCACCTTCCAGTTTCTAATTTATATCTATAGCAGAGTAGTGATCTCAACAAATAAGGGTACAGCACAAGGCAGTAATTATTACACATCGGGAGAACTCGGAAATCACGAAAGTTTCCGAACGCTTTTGCCGCGTCTATAGTCTGATTTATATGACAATTAATGCGAATTTTTTATTAGAACTACCTTAGAAATGATGTAATAAAATTTAAAATACTTCAAACATTGATACGGCAACAGCGTTCGGAAATATTCGTGGTTTCCGAGATTATCCGATGTGTAATATTTCCAGCTTGATACTGTACTTACATATTTTGTTTATATGACAAAGCACAGGCTTTCTTTGATTGTGTTAAATAATTACAAGTCACACTAAAGCCGCCATCTAATTCGAAATAATAGACGGGACAAAAGTGAGAATCAAATAATGTATGCTTAATGATCTTTAAAGTGCGCTCTAGGAGAGATATATGTCCAATAGCGGATAACAGCGGGCTGATTATGATGTTGGTGTCCACGTGCATTTGCTGACGGTGAGTTGCAATCGGATTAAACTCCACTTTTATGCACGCTACAGCACCGCGTCCATGCTAAACGTATTATTTTTTATATTCTTCAACAAACAACTCGATGTTCCACATAAAAAAACACTTTAAGTATTTTTTAAATGGACCGTCGCCGAACAAAAACAAACCACGGAAGTGTCTAAGTTACAGCGTTTTAATTTTATATTAAAATTTTAGTCAACGTGCTGCCATCTTGCGGCCATTAACCATACCGTATATAGCGAAAATGGCGGGCTGAGCTCAAGTAGGCGAAACTAGGCCTACTGTTGGCACGCGTGTGACACTAACTAACCACTTCTACTGTATTTATTGTTCTGTGTGCACCATAGTCGGTCACATGCACAGGAGAGTTTCTGACGAACGCGCGTCTATTTTACGCTAAAAAACTATACACAACATACGTTAAGTATGGACGTGGTGTTGAGAGTGCTGACAAATGGGCTCCAGTCCTTAGTGTGTGCTCACCTTCATGACACAATTTGTGTTAACTGTTTAAAAAATGATTATAAATAAAGGATGATCTAAGTTAGTTACGATGCTAGCTACTTCACTGCTGTAAATCATCTCCTCAGTTTCCTGAAACAAAAAAAAACATTTTGTTTGAAATGTACTGGGGTGTGTCATTTGCGTAGGTGGAGATCTGTAATATCTGCCTTCCCTAGCATGGATAGGCGTTGTTGTAGTATACTTTAGCCAAATTCGACATGCAATAACAAAACGTTGCTAAGCAACCAATGATGGCAGGTTGAAAGAAATTTTTTTGTCAATGCTCATTATTTCGCGTAATTGGAATTTAAATTTGTACGAAGGTAACTGGGTTGTGTAACAGCAAAAACTACCTTTTTTTGCTTTAAATTGCAAAGTTCTTATGGGCACTGCACCTGTCACCCTGATACATAACTTGACAAATTCCATGTGCCGGTAATTTTACCAGCACCCTTACCCTTCTAAACCGGAACGCAGTAATGCTCGCATTACTGCTTGGCGGCAGAAATAGGTAAGGTCAAGAAACAGGTAAATAAGGTAAGGTCTACCTGATCAATTATTATTTAGATAGTGGAGTATATCAGTTTAAAAGCCAAATATACCCAGTAGGCGAGTGGTTGGAGTCCCTAACAACGTGAATTTTAATTAGTTTATGAGAGTGTCGACCGAACATCTGTCGGCCTTCATGGAGGAGTTTTGGCTGAAGGGAGTCATATATCGGTGATTCCACGGACGGTTACCTGACACCAGATGGCGCCACACGTCGCTGACAAATGCAACTCGTGTAGATTAGTTTTATTATTATATTGTATATACATAGTTAGTCCTTAAGGTATACATTATATGGTCATGTGGCCTGAATTTAGTAAATATAATCTCAGTGTAGGGTATTAGTGAAACCGATCTCAAAAGCGGAATTACATATATTTGCCAAGATGTATTCAAAGCGGTTATATACCAGAAAGTGCGCGAAACTGGATTCATCGCTTGGTTTGCCACCCTCAGAGGTGGAATAGTTTCTTGAAAATTAAATGGGACCACTACTGAGGTACCCTCTTTCCAATAAAAGTAATGTTTATGTTTGTTGACATTTATTCTACGTAAAATTTGGCGAGTGTAAAGGCGTTCCTTTTTTTAGTCCTTCCCCTTTTAGTCCCCACCCGCCGGATATGTTATTCTTAGAGGGCCTTGAATATCCTTCTTATGTATGCATTTTTATGCTATACCCAATTTAGGTATTTATTTCACTATTATATGTATATATATATATATATATATATATTATATATATATATATATATATATAAAAGTCTCCATATTTTGTATGAATGGCATAAATAGTAAAGTTAAAAATATAGAATGTCACATTGTCAAATTGTAAATTAATAAAGATAGATAAAGAGAGTTAATAAATTAATTTGTCATTGTAAAATAGTTAACACTTAAATAAGGATAGGATTAAAATCATAAATATATTATTCTGATTCAGTGTTTAGGCGTTGTTGGGTAAAAGAGGTACAATCAATAGCGGCACGAGCACGGTGTTGGTGTACCTGTTCAGGGACTTCTCCTTGTAGCTGACTTGTTTCCTGGCGCGGCGCGTGCGCCCGTCGCCTTCGCCGAGCTCGGCGCTGCCGTCGCTGTCCGCGGGGCTGGCCGCGGCGCTGCTGGCGCGGCTGCGGCTGCGGCTGCCGGCGCGCGACGAGGGCGACGAGGGCGACGGCCGCGCGCGCGCCGTCCGCCGCGACCGCCCCACTGTCACGTACGACGGCTCGCCCGCCTCCTCGGCCTCGCTCTTGCCGAGACGCAGGCCGGGCTCGGGCCTGTCGTAATCCCTTGATGTTTTTAATACAACTCGACTACATTATACGTCTTCTAAAGATTTCTTTGGCATGCAGGTATATTTCGCCAGAAAATAGTCTTTTCACGTAAATGTAACCATCTAAGCTGCGTAATGACCGTATTGAAGAGAAACATTATTATGGAAAAATGTTTAATAGTGCAAATATTATTGAATATACACCTAATCATAGAGATACCTAGCGCCTAGAAAAAATTTGGTTGGTGACTAAAAAGTTACCTATACATGTGTGTATGGCCGTATGGGCGCGCTTACAAACGCCATCTATGTTCCTTTAGATAAACTGTTTGCAAGAAGGCGTGTTTATGCAAACAGGGCGCTGTCGTATATCGTAGTGTGAAATGATAAAATCTCATTTAATTAAAACGATTATAAATTCTAAAATAATGCGCAAAATACTAATGGTAAAATTGTTAAATAATAAGTTTGTAATATTGTTATTCTTAACAAGCTTTAATTTTAAAATTAATCGTTAACAAAAACGTAAAGACATTGTGTTGACGTAAAATCGGTTCCGCAAATCAGAGGTCGGCCAAAAAGATTGGTAATAATTGTGTTGATGTTTTTCCGCGCTTTTTTTTTATAACAACCGCGATTATTACCTCGGCTCTGTAACTGAATTGCATTCATTTTTGTTAATATTAACGTGAGTGTCCGTTTCGGAATAGAAGGTTTAAGTTAAAGTGCAGTTTCATTTATCTCGTGATGTCCGAGCCTCCTGACGATGACGACTTACAATGGCCGGATGGTTCCGCGCCGACATACACATATACAGGTTTTTTTTTCTTTTAAATGGGACAGTACGAGGAAATCCGAAACCGTACCAGATACAAGGGAAATGTCTTAGGAACCATCAAGTCTTTTTGTGAAAACAATTTCGGCATAATCAATTTTTTGGTCAAGCGTGAGTTGTCCATAAAAAGGAATAAAATTGATAAAATAAAATGTTTAGTGCTGATCGACTCAATGTCATATAAGGATCATTCCATTGTATGAGACGAAAAAATCAGGACAACAGGAAGTTGGTCAAATTTAATCAAATGCTTTTCATACAAAGTAAATAAAATTGACTAACTTTTTTTTTCAATGTAACAGACTCGAGCAGTTAGTCCTATGGTGTCGGATTTCCCTACACTGTCCCGTTTCAATAAAATACTCAATACTCTGTATATGAATAAGTATGTGCTTTCACACACATGTGAGCACATACCACTAAGGCGGCGTAGTACACGGTATCTGCAACGAAATAGCTTAACTCACGCGAGGCTGCCGTGCGTGTTCCCGTTGGGGCTGGGCATGTGCGGGGTGGCTCTCGCGTCGGCCAGCGCCGGCCGCTTGGGCGGCGACGCCTCGCCCTTGGCCAGCGCCTCCTCGGCCGGGCGCATCTTCGCCACCATCACCTTCAGCACCCGTCCGCTGCCACTGGCCAACATAAGCATCAACCCTTGTCGATTCCGCTTCTTTTCGCGTCTCCCAGTTTATTATTTCTTATTAAAAACCCGACAATAATTCAAGTTTGCGTGAATCGACGCTACTTACAGATAATGATAATATCACACTGGATCGAATGCAAAACAGTGAGTTTTAATTTAGTAGCAGGAGATTTCGTCCAGGGAAGTACCGCCAAGCAGTAGTGTGAGCATTACTGCTTTCCGGTGCTTCATCAGCACCATTACAGGCACATTTGACTTGTCAACTTCTGTTTCAGGGTATCGGACGCAGTGGCAGTGCCCCTCAGATCGTACCACTGCTACTGTTGTGGACAGACGTGTCGCTTACCATCAGGCGCACGACTTGTTCGTTCCGTCACTTAGTTATTGTAAAAAAAAGTGGAGTCACGACTTCGTGTCTAATACAAAAAGTTCGCATACCCGTGCCTCCCGCCTTTCGGCCGCGGCGATTCGGGCGGCGTGCTGCTGCGCTTGCGCCGCCGCATTGTCGGCGTGAAGGCCAGTGCGGTCGGTGTGTTCTCCTTCTGCGAAGGCAAGTCCTCTCGACAGTTAGAGGCAAAACTAAGTAGTCTAGACTGAAAGTGAAGTAGACTCGCTCACCTCGGCTTCGTCGACGTGTGCGGATGTAGTAGTGGCTATAGGCGTGGGCGGGCTGCTGGCGCCGTCGCAGGGCGTCGTCGAGTCGGGCTCGAAGTTCGGCCGAGGCTGCAACCCAAGGGAATTAACGTTGTTGTAGTAACATAAAAAGTAAGTAACTAATTTATTTGTATATAAAAAAACAAATACAGTTCAATTTTCAAGTTTTATTGAATGTCACGATATTTTACTGTTATTTTTTTGTGAAATTGCTTCACTAATTTGTTATAATTATTAATAAGAATAAGCAAAAAATGTGTTCGCCGAGATACATGAATGAGCTTAAAAAGTACAATATTATAACATTACAAAATTAAAAGAATAGCGTAATACAACAAATAGACAAAGAATTGCATACAAATGCGATTTACTTCTGATAATCTCGAACATCACAATAATAAAAATAAATGAGTGTCACAGCGCACGCACAGGGGACTTGCTCTGCGTTTATCTACGGGCAGGAAATCCTACCTGTAGCACGGAATCGAGTGCAAATAATACCTACATACATAACCTGTGTGTGAAAATATAATACATAATCGCCTGTTATTACAATAGGGTTGTATCTCAAAATATGTGAAATTCGAGATTATACTATTGTTGAACGTAAAATTTGATTCTTTACACGTCAATACAACCTTCATTAGAATATTGTGAGACACAATTCAAAGATTAATTAATACATACTTAATTTAAAATTAGAGAAACTTTTCCTGAGCTAGTTCTGTACAAAACAGTCCTTACTAAAAAAGATGACATTATTTTTTCCCTATAAGTTTTAATAATCTTTCACGGGAAGTGAGTAATTCGTTTCTGATCGATACTGAAAAAATACACTTTTAGAGTTAATGCACTCTTGTATTAACATTATATAATGAAAGTTGAAATATGTATATTTGTATAATTACACTAAATATATACAATATATAAATATCAATAAATAAATAAATAAACTATAATAATATGAAGAAATAATTCAAAGATCGAACTGTTTCTTGTCCTGTCAGGGAGAAAGTATATGGATTTATTTAATTCTAGACTGTACTAAAGGATTAAAGGCACTAAAAAATTAATACTAGTCTACCAAGATGAAAACTTACCCCATCACTTTGTGCTAAATCTAATAACCAACTGGGTCCTTCTAAAGGATTATCAGTTCCAGACCTGAAAAAAGAAACATTCAATTATGTACAATTACACTAACAAAAGATATCTAAACCTTATACCATTTAATGTTCCCCGTAGACTATCTAAATTACCCATAAAGCCTCTTTGTAAGACCTTTCGCAGGACTGATTAATTCTTTGTACAATGATGACAACGCAACGATTGATTCACACTACTTCTCTACAGTAAGAACCAAGTAATCTAGATCGTCTATCGTAACCTTCTTAAAACTCTGTCACCATACTTCTTTTTTATGCTATCGCTTAGTCTTAAGTTATTAACACTACTTTT